AAAAAAAAAAAAAAAAAATATATATATATATATATATATATATATATACACACACACATATAGTTAAGCAGTGAATTTTGGGCACATGACATCCAGAAGGTGAGTCCAGAGATTGAAATCCTATGACTTCCTGCAAATAGATTGAGATAACCTTCTCTCTCTCAGAGACACATGACCATGCCCTCCCCCCGCCCCGCCCCCCAGTCTCGGGAGTGTTAGAGCTGCTGGGGAAATGGACCTCACCCTGTTGCCTCTAGTTTACATCTGATGGCTGCAGTCACTGGCCACGATCCGAGCTCAACATACACCATCCCTGCAGCCAGACATCTTCCTAGGCGTGGGTTGACTGCGGGGGCCTGAGGAGGGAATGTGTGGTGGCTGACTCCAGGTCAGGAAAGGGGGCACCTACCAGAATACAGGCCCCGAGTCCCGGTACCAAGCCCTCCAAGTGACTTAGGGGCCCAGCAAGTCACAGAGGCACTGCTCTGTGGCCTGTTCTCCATCCTGGGCTATTAGCATGGATCGCATTTGGGGGCATCTTTAATTTCTCCTTTATGCCACAGGCTCATTGGGCTCCCCAAGGCCCATGCCTGGCACAGAGTAGATGTTGAAAATACTCATTGAGGACGCCTGGGTGGCTCAGCTGGTTAAGCGACTGCCTTCGGCTCAGGTCATGATCCTGGAGTCCCGGGATCGAGTCCCGCATCGGGCTCCCTGCTCAGTGGGGAGTCTGCTTCTCCCTCTGACTCTCCCCCCTCTCATGCTCTCGCTCTCTCTCTCAAATAAATAAAATCTTTAAAAAAAAAAAATACTCATTGAACAAATTAGCATTCCCTTTTGTAAAGTCCTAACACCCAGCATCTCTGACTTGACCAGTGGGCAGGGATGGGGACAATGAGAGGCCTTAAGCCAAACGGCAATCAGGCTGTTCAGCGCAGATGCGTCCTCAGAGGAAAAGCAGGGCTGAGGGGAAGTGAGGGTGGAGAGCCAGCCCCGAATCGAGGCACACGCTCACAGAAAGGAATTGGGGCACACTGTCATGACTCCCGGTTTCCCCTTACCAGCACTTCTTGTCACCATTTTCCTGTGGCTCTTTTTTAATGTCATGATGAGCTCTAATTTGAGCCGCTTTTATTGTCCCCCGGAGACTTTTGAGTTGCTCTGTGGGTATCACAAAACCTGAAACCCAATCCATATATCCTGGGCTTTGGGGAAGTGGGACCATGGGTGCACGGGTCATTTTTAGCAGTCGTTGGAGTAGAGCCAAAGCTCCCAGAGATACGGCAAGTATTTGAGAATCGCCCGATCGGCTGTTGGAATTAGCCGTTAAGCAAAACAGTAACTGAACACTGGGGACCTTCTTGAACTCCATTTGGGTGGGAGGCCTTCCAGTGTGCGTGTCAGCCCCGAACTAGGACAGAAAGGTAGAGAGTTGAAACACAGCAGGCCAGGGACAAAGCAGCTGATAGAGGCACTCTCCTCTCCGCCCTTTGTCTGGGAGTTTCGCCTTGTCTCAGACTCACTTCCTTTCTTTGTCGCTGCACTCTAGTCCAGAGCTGTGCTGCCCGGTCGGATTTACTAACTAGCGGAAGAGAAACCCCAAGGGAGGCCCCGGGCTTGCGTTCCGTAATGAATCTGATCCAGGTACTCTGATGCTGTCTGGTACACAAAGGAATCCTGTTCTATGGATTGAAAGCAGAAATAAGGGAAGGGACGTTTTGGACATTGACTCGGGTCTCATTCACTTAATCATTTACAGGGGAGCAGATTCTTTGTTGTAGCAATTTCAGAAAAGCGCCGGCGTTTATCATTTGTCTTTTCCCGAGTGTACTTCCGAAAGACTTGACACACAATAAACAAAACCTAAACCTTTTCTAAAGCGCCACTTTCCCTGGCATGCTCTCTTTCAAAATCGAGCCCTCCACAGCCACCGAGCATCTTACCAACACCACGTTAATTGTCACCCCCCTGGGACTGACACACTTCCTGAATGCCACACTTTTCGGAAAGAAGTTACGAGTTTAGGCCATCCCGTCCGTCACAGAATTGAAAATGAGCATTGGCATCAGGCTTGGAAAAGTACATTTCATTGTATTTATTTTCCACAGAGAGGTTAAGAATATGGTATTGTCATTCTAAAGATGACCAGGATCCTCTCAGGACCAGCTAAACTGATTACTCAGGGAGATACCCGTAAAATAACAGAAATGTACATATTGACAAGGCAGCGGTGTCCACTAGCCTGCATCTGTGGTAAGCATCCTCAAAGCTTGTTAGAGACCAGCATGGGCTCATAGAAGTTAGCAGCCAGCACTGACAGGGGGCAAAAGGTAAATGAGCTGAGAGCAAACCTGCTGAAATTATTTGGTGCATGATTAAGCAACTTTGGGCTTAGGGCGCTGGCTTAGGTATACACCACTTCCTACCTAGGTTAGAGACCAGTGGCCCTCAGCTAGAATTTACAGGATTTCAAATGGTAAAAGCAGCTATTCAGAGCCTCAAAGGAAGCAGTTGTTAAAAAGGGCAGTACTTCTGTTTTTAGCACCTACGTCATCCTGGACCAAGAAGCATGAAGCGAGGGGCACGTTCACCGTTCCCATAATCCTCCCGGGTGACAGGAATTCTGCTAAAAATCAGTCTCATGCCTTCAAAGGTATTCAACAAAAGCTCTTTCCAGATTTTTTTTTTTCCCCTCTGACCTTTAAGCCTGTGCAGGACGGGCGGAGAAGGGCTTGCTCACCCATTTTCCAGGTAAGAAAAGAGGCCCACACTGTGACTTGTCCCGATTGGCACGGGGAGGTCACCCATCTTTGAAAAGAGCTAACACCCGTCAGCTCGTTATGCCTTCCTCCCCTGGAAGAAAGCAAAGGCCCATGGGATTCACCACGTCCTGGTAGCTGTTACTCTCTATACCATTCATTGTTGGCTAGACATTTCAGCCTTCTGCCACGTCTGGAGTAGCTATTTAAATCTAACGGTTAAACACTGCTTTCTCTTTTAAGCATCTTCTCTCTGACTAGACTCTAAGCTCCATGAAGACAGAGGCTCCCTCTCTCCCACCTCGCATCGCTCCCTACACCTCGTGTGGCGTTTTGAACCACGCAGGCACCTTCATAAAGAATCAGTTGATTCGAACGTTCCAGGGATGAGCTCCACTTGGATCATGTTATTGGCAGTGCATCTGAGGGAACAGATGTTCCTATTCAAATCCATGAAACTGGAAACATTAAAAAACAACAATCATGACATTGATTGATAGTGATATTTACTGTGTCAGACCGTGTAAGCTCAGCTATAAAATAGACTTGCATACTGTCATCTTTACATTTGGATTTCAAAGATTCTCAAACGTTTAAATAATGTCGCTTGACTCAGATCCTGATTCTTGCTTGATGCACTGTTTAGTGTTTCTTTATCGAATTACAGCCCTGTTCTTTGGAATGTCACCCTGCCTGAGAAAGCAGCACCTCTGGGTGCTTCAAAGATATTTTCGGTCTGTTACAAGAAAATATTTATCAGCTGGGAGGGCGCACACAGTGAAGATCACGGGAGATGCCCCAAGGCTGCAGAGGGCTGTGCCTAACTTGCTAAATACCTGGGTGGCCCTCGGTGGAACCGGTTTATAAAAGGTTGCCCCAGAACCCTTTAGTGTAATCCTGAGCACGAACGGACCTTCCTGAAAGGCTGTCTTTTTTTTTCTCCAACTCAGGTCGTGGACGGGCAGAGCTCCTCTGCATGAGTCCCTCGGCCGGCTTCCCCTGGCCTGCAGCCCTGGCCAGAATCTGCGCCGCGCTGCGGGGCCTCCGGCCTCGGGACAAGCAGGCGCTGCTCGCCCCAGCGGCGGCGGTCTCTGCGGTCCAGGCGGCCGGCAGGAAGGACCGCCCCGCTCTGCCTCCCCTGGATGAGATGGATCTTGAAGAGCAGTTTGTGAAAGGGCACGGCCCCGGGGGCCAGGCCACCAACAAAACCAGCAACTGTGTGGTGCTGAAGCACGTCCCCTCGGGCATCGTCGTCAAGGTAGACGTCCCCTCTTTGGTAAACGTCAGTGACACCTGCCCCTTCAGGCACAGCCTTCCCAGGCCTCAGGATAAAAATGCGATGCGGGGCTGCCTGGAGGCGGCTTCCTTCTTTACCTGGAAACCAGTCTCTGATCAGAGTATCCCCAGCTCTCAACACACCCCGAGCCCCTGGGAGATACTGAAATGCTTTCTCCCATTTCCTGGGTAGTAGGGGGTCCCGCTGGCTCTCAGTGCAGTCCCTTCTGAGTCGCCAGAGGGCCCCGAGAAGGGACAGCAAGGCAGGCTTTCCATATACCAATGACAGGGCAGGCCCCGGTGGGCGCAGCGCCACACGTGGACAGTCGTCACCCTCGCAAGCCCTTACGCCTTGTCTTCCTCATGGTGCAGGTGTGGATTCAGGCACAGAGAGGCTAGGTAACTTGCCTGAGATCCTACAGCGGCAGGCGTCAACCCAGACCAAGCCCAAAGTCTGTGCTCCCAACAACTCTTCTTCACTGCCAGGTTTTTGAGCCAAGAGCCTATCAGTTAAAACCTCAATCGCTTTTCTTTCCCTCCTTGAGAAAAAGTGTCATTCATAAGCCACACATAACATTCTGAAACCTGACAGGATTTTTGTTTAACTGTTTTATACACGTACTGCAGATTTGCTTTCAGTACTCTTCTCTCGCTCTCATTTCACAGAATTGTTTTTCGAATAGCTTTGCAACAAGGCACTCGCCCGTAGTAACTCAGGGATGACATAATCAACGGTATGGTTGACTAATAATAAAGATGCTATCTTCCTCCCTGAGACAGAATTTTATGTTTATAAATGGTGCAGACGGAGGGCTTGTTCCCTGGCCACAAGCTAGACATATCAGTTGATATTTTCAAAATTATCTGGGGACTTTAAGTTATCTGAAGGCTATCATTGCTTCTGAACAAAGCAACACTCTTAATTATAAAACCATCACCGAGAAAGCTGCGTAATACAGCTGGGGGGTGCGACAAGGTGGAGGCTGATAAGAGGCAGGAAGGAGGGCGTACGGTCTTCGCTGTCACGGACTCCCTGGGATTCCTGACCAGGGGCCTTGCCTCTCGGGCCCGTCCCCATCTATAGAGCAAATGGGTTGAATTCCACAATCTGAGATCCTGTCCAGAACAAATTTTTCACATTATAAAATATTATCTCTTGCAGTGCCATCAGACAAGATCGGTTGATCAGAACAGAAAGCTCGCTCGGAAAATCCTACAAGAGAAAGTGGATATTTTCTACAATGGTGAAAACAGTCTTGTTTACAAAGAAAAACAGGAGGCAGAGAGGAAAAAGCAAGAGAGGAAAAAAAGAGCAAAGGAAACCCTAGAAAAAAAGAAGCTCCTGAAAGAACTCTGGGAATCCAGTAAAAACGTCCACTGAGAAAGAATCGAAGATGCTTTTCTGTTGTTGTACTTGTTGTTTTTAAGATGTTTACATCCAACGTGGGGCTTTAACTCACAATCCTGATCCCGAGATAAGAGTCACATGCTCTACTGACTGAGCCAGCCAGGCACCCCGGAAGGAATCGCAGATTCTAACTAAAGAGCCTGCCAGATGCAGGACGCCTGGGTGGCTCAGTCAGTTAAGCGTCCGACTGTTGATTTCAGCTCAGGCCATGATCTCAGGGTCATGGGATCGAGCCCCACGTCAGGCTCCATGCTGGGCACGGAGCCTGCTTGAGATTCTCTCTCCCTTTCCCTCTGCCTCCACACCCCCCACCCCCCCCCCGCTCCACTCTTGCTTGCACACTCCCTCTCTCTGAAAAAATACAAATTTAAAAAAAAGAACCTGCCAGATGCTTCCAAGGAAATGGTAGAGAGTACCATTCCATCGCAAGCGTTACTCTAGCATTTCTGTATTTCTGACAGACTTAACATTTTAAATCAAAACTTTTTAAATGGCGGACTAAACTGGGATGAATAGAGACGCACATTTTGAGAATAAAACCATAGAGACACACACAGAAGACATTACTACAAAAGGACTGGCTAGCTACTTTTCATGGGGAGGAAGGGTGGTCGTGATAGGACACCCGGAGGGGCTGTGGATGGCTGACAAAGGTCTTTCTGGACCTGGGTGGGTAGTTAGAAGGATGTCACCATATTTTTTTAAGCTATACATTTGTGTGATTGTCTTGTTATCAAAGGTTAAAAATAAGCACTAATAGTAAGGAAGGTCCATTTTTGGGGGAAAACTATGGAATGGAGTCAAACATTAGTGGCATTTTTGGGGCACCTGGCTGGCTCAGTCGGTGGAGCATGGGACTTTTGATCTCAGGGTCGTGAGTTTGAGCCCCATGTTGGGCGTAGAGCTTATTTAAAAAAAAAAAAAATACACATGACATTGCCTATGTGTTGATTTATAAGTAGATTTATAAGATGAGTTTCCAGAAACCTGATTTGTGAATTTGCACAATGCCATCACTCAAGCTGGATTTGACCCTACGGTTGTTTGGGGTTTTTAGGCAGAGGTAATAGCTTCGCTTGTCAGAATACATCTGGGGTTCACCCATGAAACAAGCAGGGGAAAAACCATGAGGGGAGAAGGCCACCGTCAAGACAGTCTGCAGTCAAAACCAGCCCATTCGGCAGGCACAGACCGAGTGCCCAGTGCCTGTGTCCGAATACACATTGAAGGCAGCCAGGTAAGGCTCTTCTCACCTCGATGCGAACTGGTCTGGAAGCTTAAGCATTGTGTGCAAGGCTCTGGAGACCGGTCGCAGCATCCAGGACCCGTCCCCATGCGGACCTCCATTCAGAAGGTAGCCAAGCGCCTGGAAGGGTACACGACAAGCAGGTCACGGCGGGAAGAGAAATTTTGGGAGCTGTAGACAGGAGGGACAGAGGCTTCAATCTCTCTCCTCTCGTGCCTTCTGGGGTTTGCTGTGCATGAAACAGAGGTAGACACACCCGCTCTTACCGGCCTTTCGACCTGTCATGGCTGGGCCCTTACCTCGTGCCTGCAAAACTGACCCCATCCCTCATTTGTCTGTCTCCCCCTCACCACTGAGGACCACCATCTGCGTCCTCAAACACATCCAGCGCAAGCGGGCCTTCCCCAGCCCCGGGGCAGGGAATTCTCCCGGTGAGCACCTGAGGTAGCTAACTGGAGTTTAGAGGCTGCGCTGTAGGAGAACTAGATTCCTGCAGCAGGACAAGCACCTGGAAGCCGAGGACGGCCTCATGGTGGGCAGGCCGTGGGCAAAGTCAGTTACGCCGCGTCCACTAACATTCTTGCTTTCTTCCCCGGCGCACACGGCCATCCGCGGCAGTCACAATGCACCGTGACGCAACTTCGTCTGACCCCCGCCTCCTGACTTAGGCAAACGCCTTCTTCCCTCAGCCCGTAGTGGTTCTGGCATTGGCACAAAAAATGTTTCTGGGGCCAGGCAGGCAGACCCTCTATGGCAGGGATCTCCCACTCTCGGAGGAGGAGCTGTTTTTTGGTTTGTTTTTAAAGATTTTCTTTTTAAGTCACCTCCACACCCGACGTGGGGCTCGAACTTCGAAGCCCCAGATCAAGAGTTGCACCTCTAGTGACTGAGCCAGCCAGGCGCCCCTGAGGAGCTGTTTTTTAAAATACCACTTAAAAAAACAACAACAAAAAACACAAGAATTCAAGGAACCCACACCTTAATACAAATTGTTAATGAAAATAAGCTTTATTACATCAAGTAATAAATACATACAAAGATGCAAACAGTTTTAGTCATTTTCTTCCAGATGTTTGGATCAACTTACAGAAAAAGCAGAACTGAAATCCACACACAGTCTTAGTAGGAAAATTTGGAGGGGGGGGTTCTTGTTAGGTTAGGTTTGGTAGGTTGCTCTTTCTTCTGTATTTATAACTTGTGCATTTTTTAAATTGACCTCAAAGCACTAATAGTCATGCAAGCAAATGCTTAAGCACAAAAGAAGTTACATTAAGCGGAATCCACACGGTGTGGCAAACGTACGCACTCAAAAAAAAAAAAAAAAACCTCAGAGTTGTATTAGCTTATGAAAAAGAACGGAGAACAATCTGGGTAACGTAACTGGGATCTTTGCTGTGAGACAGGTATCTTTTACGTGCATCTTTTAAATCAATGCTTAAAAAAAAAAAAAAAAGAACAAAAAACCCTGGGTAGTTCCTAACTATTTAAAATGTAAATCCTAGTCAACTGCAAAGTATTTCTCAATCTCAGAGCCTCATGAACCATGGGAGGGACGTGGGAAGGAGAAACCAAACCGTTACCCTTTTGAAAACAAGAGTTTCATCTGAACATGGGAGATGAGCTGTAACTTCTGGTCTTGGACGAAGATGGTAAACCTTCCGCCTGGCTAGGCAGCTAGGATCGGGCGTTCCGTTCCGTTTCGGCCAAGCACTCTCGAACCAGTCCTCTGGCGTGAATGATGCCTGGAGGAGGAGCAGAGGGCTGAGGATCGTCCAGCAGAACCCACTCCAGGAGAGGAAGGGGGCCCTTCACAACCCAGCTGGAAAGCCCCCGCCCTGGGAGGGAACTCGGGACCTGCATCCCAAGCACCCCGGGGTTCCAGCGGTGTGGGGAGACAGACACGAGCGTCCCATCCCTCCTCGAAGGCCTTCCCTCCTCGCCCAGACTCCTCTTCGTGGCTCCTACCAACCCCTTCCCGCCCACACGGGGACGGCCAGCAAGCTCTCCGTGCACGCCAGGCTCTCAGAGGACGCAAGCAGATGTGTCCCCGCCCGCCTTCGTCAAGCCTGCCCCACTGTGGAGAATCCAGGACTCCAAATCCTGATTTTTCTCTGGCTTCTTCATAGTCTACGTTCTAGAAAGGGCTTGTCCGGCGTCCAGCCTGCACACTTAGGATGCAAGACTGCTCATTTATGTTCACCCTTGGTCCACCGTGACGTTGCCCGCCAGGTGCCAAGAGCACCTTCGGCCCTACCACCCCCTGCCCATCTCTTCCCTCTGGTTTGGTGGTTATGGTTTGGTTGTTGCGTTTGGGTGGTGGTGGTGGTGGTGGCCTTCAGCGAACGCCATGAGACACTTAATCTCGTTTTAACAGACACAAAGAATCTACTCCTTCTGAGAGAGGACCGCCGGAGGGCACTGTGAGTGACATCCCCAAGTCACGCAGGCATCCACATCTCACAAATCTTATCTCTGAGCTTCAGAAGACTTTTTTCTAGAAAAGGCCAGGCAGTAAATATCTCGGGCTCTGCAGGCCACACGGGCTCTGTCACAACCACTCAAGCAGCTGTTACAGAAGCAGTGGGTGTGGCCATATTCCACCAAACCTTTTTTATGAACGCTGAAGTCTGAACTGCAGAGCATTTTCACGTGTCATAGAATCATTTTCCACCATTAGAAACTGAAAACCGTGCTTGGCCTATCAGGCACGGTTTGCTGACCTCTCCGCCCTGCGCCTGACCCCCCCGTACCCTTTATGACCCTTCTTCACCCTGTTACGACACGCACTGGGCTGGCCTGGACTTGACTACCGGTCCGCGTGACCGTGGGACCAGCTGCTCACGCAGCACATGCCCTGGGGCCACCACGAGGCATACCCATCGGTTGGCCTGAACCTGCTGCCTTTTTTGGGGGACTGCAGGTCGCCCGTTAGACTCTGGGATCCAGCGTCTTCCCAGGGATTTCCACTCGCATAACCAGAACTCCAGGTGTCAGGACTGTCTTGCTTCCCCTGCCTCCAAACAGCAGTCCGGACGCAGAGCAAAGCCCACCTGCCCCCCCACCCCACCCCGTGCTGGATCGGGGTTAACCCCACCTCTCCCCAAGCCCTGTCCAGGTCCAGCCTCTCTGTCCACGAAGGCTTCATACACACCAGCGAAGCCTGCTGCCGTGGGCCGGAGCCTGTCCTCACCAGCCATGCCCGCCGCCGTGGATCCATGGCCCTCCGCAGCAGGCCCCCTTTATGCCCCAGATTTATTGCCGGCGTGCCTCTCCAACCTTCCCCAGAAACACCAGATCGCTTCTGAAATTAAATTCGCACCTAGGCCACAGCTGCTCTGCCCTGCCACCTTCTAAAACAGAAATTCCCTTCTCCCCTCCCCTCCAGCGGCTCGGTGAGGTGGCAGCCGATTTCGCCTCCCCCTGGAAGCAGCGGGTCAGTCCCGTCTTCAGGTGAGTCACTGGGTTTCTGCGACATCATGCTCCTGCCCTCCCACCCGCCCTCCTCAGTCCTGAAGGAATTTCAGTGCTTTTGCTCTCCCCCCCCAGACTGGGACAGACCTATACGCCCCCTCGGGCTCCCCTCCAAAGAGCTGACAGCAGAGGGCAACCCAGGACCTAGGACCTCCCGACTCCCCGGCCCCGGCCCACCCAGAGAAGGAAGCCTGGCACGTTTGGCCTCCCGCGGCTCCCTGGGACCAGCAGCCAACAGGAGCCGAGCAGGCAACAAACAAAGCGGCAGGATCTGGGCTACAATTTTAAAGCATACGGACCCTCCCGGGAGGCACGCAAGGCCTTCCCGTCAGATCCCAAGGAGAGTGTACATCCCACGGACCGGCCCACCCCTGCCCCTGCGGACGCCTCCACATCAGAGTAACAAAACGGGGGCCCCTGGGGCACAGGGGACCCTCCCCCCACCCCGAAGAGAGTCTCTCACAACAGTTAGCGCCCAGCAGGGAGGCGGCACCCGTCGGGGAGTCCGGGTCCCGCCACTTACCTCGTTTTAGTCTCTCCATGGCACTCTTGCTCCCCGCGTAAGTGGGTCTAATCTCTTTCCCCAACTCCTCGATGATGGCCAGCAGTTCGGCATATTTGCTCTGGGGTACCTGGCTGTTCCCTGTTCCCTAGAGTCAGAAGGAAGAGTTTACGTGGATCGAACCCTTCCCTGACCCCACGGCCACGGTCAGGACCGCACCACAGGCCAGCCACGGCGAGGACAGGGCAGGGGGGAGGCCCGCCCAGAGGCAGCTGCTGCCTCCGCCGGGGCCAGGCCTGTCCGCCCTGAGGAAGAACCACAGGCAGAGAGCTGGGCCTCTCTGCCGTCCTCCTACACCCAAGGAAACCACCAGCGGCCTCCAGAAGGCTTTCATCCTCTCGAATGAGAAAAAGGAGGACGGGCTGGTCTCAGCGAGCGCTGGGTACTTGCTAGGACCCAGGCGGAAGCGCAAGCACATCCCGGGGAGGACAGTCCAGAGCAGGGGGATGGGATGGGGGCCACACCCTGGGGTGAGCAGGACCACCAATAACTGCCAAAGGCCAACTGGACAGAACACAGAACGTGTTTCAATTCACCCATTCTGCCCCCCGCCGGCAGGGCCCACCCCACAAAACCCCTTCTTCTCTAGACTCCCCCCGCCACAGCCCAAGTAAGCACCCCGACGGGTGAGGCTGGGGTCCCCGCGGGCCCCCCCAACCAGGCCCTCGCCTGCTCCTCCCTCCTCCGCCGCCGTCTCTGTCTCCGGGCCTCCAGGGCCTCCCTCCTGTCCCTGCTCGGCTCCTCAGCGCCCTCCGGGTGCCGCCTCCTGGCCCGGCGGTCCTCCTCGCCCTCCTCCCATGGCCGCTTCCTCCAGGGCTCCCGTCCCAGGTCCCATATGTGCTCCTGGGACAGCACAGCCTGGCGGGGCATGGCCGGCCACCACCCTCTCGCAGGGCCAGCCTCCGTGGCGACCCCAGAACGCGGCCGCGTTCCGATGACAGCAGAGAACCCGACGGCAGCCACGGCCTGCGGGCACCGAGGCGGGGGCCTGGCCCGGTCCCTCCACCGGCGACAGCCAGTGAGGCCAGTGGCAGCGTTGACCCCGCTCGACGGCGAGGAACTGGGTCTCTGCGAGGTTGCCAAGCAGGGGTCAGGTTTGTAAGTGGCAGAACCCCGTAGAAACCCCTGCGGCCTGGCTCAAGGGCCCCCATTCCCGAGGAGGCGCATCTGGGCTCCGGGAGGATATGGGCCCTGTCCTCCTCTTTGCTGGGGCCACCACCTTGCGGAGAGTGAGTGGGAACGGGGTCCCCTCTCCTCTGTCCAGGCTCAGATCCAGAGCCCAGGTCAGGCCTTACTTCCTCAGGAATCCGGTACAGAGACTCCGGCCGCAGGGACACACGTGGGTGGTGGCTCCAGCAGGGCCTGCAGCACTCAGGCCTTCCAGCCCCCCGTGGGCTCTCCGCCCCCATCTCTTGGTAGCCCCGTGAAACAGCCTGCCACCCCTCTGCTCCGACGCCCCGAGGCTTGAGACCTGAGGTCGCAAGGGCTGGAGGTCGACGCAGTTCGGACGACTGTTCCACTCCATCATTTCTACCCCGTCCCACCGGCTCTCCTGCCCGGACGGCGGGAAGCAGGTCCCCTCGGTGCCCAGGCCAGCCCCGGAGCCCCTCCCGCCCCACAGCCCCCACTACCGTACCTGGGTGTAGCCGAGAGACGGCGGCCCGTAGTCACTCAGCAGCTGGCGGTACTGGGAGGATGTTGCCATACTGGTGGAGGGCGGGTGGACGCTCCCAGCTATGGAGAAGAAGAGAAGAGTCAGGAATCACGTGACTGTACCCAAAGCAAAGGCTCTGGGTCCCGAGACAGTCCCCCGACCCAGGACGCATGCCAGACAGCGGTCTCTTGTCTTCATAGGACAGAGACCCTGCCCTGCTCCCGTCCTCTAGTGTGGGGATGGCCGGCGCTCAGCCCAGACAACGGGAAAACGTAGCTCACAGGCCACCACTCCTCCCACCCAGCACCACGGCAGACATCGCTCCTCAGTCCCAGGACCCCTCCCCATCCACCGGCCAGGCCTGGTCGCAAAGATGGAATCTGCGGCTCCTCTTGGCCCCATCCTTGCTGGCCACTTTTCCCTGGGTCCTGCTCCCCAGAAGTGGACGACCAAGAGCCACATCACCGCCACAGGAGCCCAGCTGCTGCGGAGGCTGGTCTATATCCCATGCGCCCAACTCTTTGCTGGACATATGCTAAGGAAGACAGAGGGAGGGTTCAGAGGCCTAACCCTGGCCGGAGACTGGTTCACTGGACACCAAGTCAGGAGCCTGGAGTGTGTCACAGTCTCTCTGTGTGTCCTCGGTAGCCTCTCAATCTCCCTGAGCCCCTGTGGTTCCCTCCCCAAAGAGGGGACAGGATTCATGACAGTCTGACTCTACGCCGGGATGGCTCACACCCCAAGGGAGGGAGGGACAAGGCCCCGACTATGGACTGCAACACTCAGACACCCTGTCCCTCAGCTGTGAGGGACCACGTGGGGACAGGGCCCGGCTAAGAATGGAGCCTCCTGGATGCGGGCTGGGGAGTCATCAGCAGGGAATTTTCCGGCTCCGGCTCAGTAGCTGGAAGCATGCAGACCCATAATGGCGTCCAAGTGGCCATTAGCGGGTAGCGGATGTCCTGCAGAATTACAAACAGCGGTAACCATGGAGAATTTACCTAGCCCTCCTCAGCAGCCGCCCGCCTGCCTCCACGCCCAGTCGAGGAGCAGCTCCCCCTCTGCCTGCCGCCCCCAGAGCCAAACGGTCTCTCAAGCACACGGCGGACTCCGCAGACTTGGCCCCGGGGATGGACAGCTGGTGCCAGGCTGGCCAAACCGACCAGCTGCTCATCTGGTGTGAGCAAGGGAGGGGACAGGGAGGAAGAAAGCTCAGGAGCTCCAGCTGGTGGAGTGGAAGGGGCCCTCGGGGAGCCCTGGAGCCCCTGACCATAAAGAGGCAGTCTGGAGAGGATGGGCGTTCTCCTGAGCCACACACCACAGAAGAGGCTGGTACCCCGACACCATATTGTCCCTCTGTCCAGGGGCTGGGGACAGCTCTGTACCCAAGATGTCTTCCCCGCTCTCGGGCCTGCCCTGCATTTCACCTCCCCCACCCCAAGCCGGGGCCCAGGTTTAGGCTCAAATGTGGGGTGCCCAGTCAGGAAACATGGATTCTGCCACCTCTAAGCCGGTAAGTGGGCACATCACCGGGCCACTCCTCGCGCCAGTCGCCACGCCTCTAAAGTGGGGACGTTAAGACACCTGTGCTTCGGGCACAGACTGCTCGGGATGGGACGAACTACTACCATGTCTGTGACCGCCATCCGAGGCAACCACAGATGTGCAGTGGCCAGAGCACAGGAGTGGGGCAGCGTGGGTGCCCCCCAAGCACCCCTCACCAGAGCAGCCAAACAACCCCAACTTCCTGAACCTTCTGAGGTGGGCAGTGAGTGTGGTCTTTGCAGCCCCAGATCTGGGTTCCAGTTCTGACCACCACAAGAGAGCACACCTCTCTGGAAGGCCAGGATGCTAAATGCAAGACCACGGTGGTACGTACCCCTGCAAAGCAGCCCCGTGTCTAGGAGATTCCAGTTCCTGGGCAGGTGAGTGGGACTCGGGTGTGCATTCCCTGCACCACCCTTTGCCCTCACCTCTTGCTGCTCGGCACTGCTTCTCACCTCCCTGCCTCCCATCCCATCTGCTCTCCTACAGACAAGGGCCTGGACCAGGAGTTGCTCTGGCTGTGTGACCTTGGACGAGACCCTTCCCTCTCTGGGCCTCAGTTTCTCCATCTGTTTGAGGCAATAATTCCCAACAGACTGTCTAAAGGCTCTAGATGCCAGTCTTCCAGGGGCTAGGGTTAGGTCTCAGGTGGGGGGCTAAGACAGGGAGGGAGGAGAAATCACTGGGTTTGGGTTAGGGGGAGAATTGGGCAACAGCTGAGGGCTTGCCTTTCCCCTCCCCAGGTGACGTGGTCAGTGACCCCAATTCTGTGTCAGTGCCAGGCTCTTACTCTGCTGAAAAGGGGGGTGTGTGTGTGTGCGGCCCTGGGGAGAGTTGGCAGAAGGGCCCTGAGTTCTACTCATGCCCACTCCTTCCGGCAGACACGGGGAGGGCCAGTGCATCCGGCTGCAGGAGGCCAGGGAGAAAACCAGACTGGGCGTGAGCACGGCCGCTCCGAGCATCACAGACAATGCACGCAGTGTGCGGGGACCAGGGAGGGCCCGGAGCCGGGGGAGGGATTGGCAGAGGCCGGCAGCTCCTGGGGCCAGGCGCAGCTCCCCGCCCCCACGCCAGACAAAGAGCGGCCTGGGCCTGGGGAGCTGGCGGCCTTCCCGCCACTTGGGGCGCCTGGGGGGGGGATGTGCTCTCGGGCGGGGAGGCGGGGGCTTTGTCTAACTCCGCCACTGCCACCGCCGGCCAGGCCGCGGCTTGGCAACCCGTGAGCAGGAGGCAGGGCTGGAGGGCGTGAGGGATGATGACAAGGAAGCCAGAGGAGCGGCAGCGGAGAGTCCATCTTGGATGCAAATGGCAGGGGGAGAGTGGGGCTTTCTAAAGGGTCCATGGGGAGGGGCGCAGCCCCCCCCATCAAAACACCAGATATCTGGGGACCTCAGCAGTCCTCCTGGAAATCACCGCAGAAGAAAACCTGTGCACAGGTGCCAGCCAGCCCAGCACAGAGCTTCAGGGGTCCTGAGTGGGTGCCCCTGTCACTTGACCCCAATCCCCGCGGGTCCCAGTTTAGGGCACCTGCCTCAACTATACTAGGCCAGGCCTGAGATTTCCAGGGTGTCAGGCCTGGCAGCAAGACCTTCCGCCCTGCATCCCCCAGAGACAGATGAAGTAGGCAAGGAGAAATCCTCTCTGGGCCACAAAGCCTATCTCTGGAAGGTCTGCAGACCCCAAAGGTGGTGAGAACATTTGAGAAAATCGTGGCTGTTTGCTCTTGGGACGCAGACCCCAAATTGAACCAATTCAACTTTGCCCCCACCCGCAACCTGAATCTTAACCCTTTCCAACCCCCAAATCTGTGTCCGCTAAGTTAAAATACATATACATATATATATTGATTTTCTGGGTCTCTCTTCAGATTTTTGGAGTTATGGAGTCAGCGTTGGGAGACAAGGCCCAAAACTTGCGGCCAACTGCCAACGTGGCATTTCTGACCAGCAAGGCCAATCCCCTCCCCCCACAAGGCCTCTGCCCCCTCCCCCCTCGAAAGCGCCTGCTTTTTTGGAAGTGTATTTCCAACCAAGGGTCTAAGGGAAAAAGACCCAGGCAAAGGGGAAAAGCCCGTCACACCCTAACCTCACCATCTTCCTTCCCCCAACCCAGCTCTCCCCTTGATCCCTGGGACAAGCCCCTGGGCACAGCCTGAAGCTGCCTGACAACTTCTGGAGGAGTTTCCTGGGATCGCCCAGCTCCAGCCCCCGGGAAGGGAGAGGACGCCCCTCCACCCCCGGCTTCCGCAGAAGGGGCCTTCGAAGCCCAGACTTGGGAGCTCCGGGATGCCGGGTCTGGGCTGAAACGCCGCCCTCACCCGCCGCCCGAAGGCACTCAGACGCCCCCAGTCTTCTCCAACTTCTGTCACTCCGCGCACGCCTGAGGGGACATCCGGCGTGCCGCGCTGTGGGCACCCCAGCTCCGGCGCGCCGGGCCGAACCCCCACCGATGATCGAGTCCCCTGCACCGCCGGTGACCCCAGCGGCCCCGCGCCCTCAGGGGCGCCTGCACCTGGCACGCTCGCCGCCCCCGCCCTGTCCACGCAGGGCCGGCCTTGCTCCCCTGCACCCCTGCGGCCCGCCTCCCGACACCCAGCCCCAGGCCCGCGCCCCCCGCTCCCCAAGGGCGGCCCGGGCCCCGCGCCCCGCGCCCCGCGCCCGGCGTGGCCCGGCCGCTCCCGACTCCCGCCGGCAGGGGCCCTCGCCGAGCCGCCCAAAAGCCGGAGGAAAAAGGAGCAGAGAAAAGCCTCCCCCGCCCTC